GGGGCAGTTCTAGAACTTAACATTTGTGCACAAAGTTTTGGGATGAAAAGAAACCTGTTATTAAGTGCATATCGACTATTCAGTGTAAAACTCCACTATATACTGCTTTAAAAAGTGACATGTGAGGCATCATGGTGAAATCATGGGCTTGTCAAAATAATGAAATTGAAGAAACAGGCATTTTTCGTCCAGTTTTATCAGATTTTTGTTTTTTGGCTGAACACCTTTTTTGTTCATATAAAAACACATTCCCTTGTGAATTGAGCTGAAAAACGTTGATTCACAGCACAAAATATGTAAATTTTCAATTTTCAAGGACTCTCAAGCTATTGAAGTTACCAAACTTTGGTGGACTTTTTTTTCGCTAAATTTACCTCTGAAATCAGCGACCCCCACCTTCTTCTATTGCAAATATCTCAACTTCTGTTCAAGATAGATGGGTACTTTTTTCACCGAAAGCAAGGCAAGTGAACAAGCTTTCAGATTATACCAATAACTCCACACGCCCAAAAATTGACAAGTGTCTGATGTCACTGCGTCGTGACACATATGATGGAGTCTTATGCTGAACAATTGATATACACATTGGGTACCAATCTTTTTAAATTATGCTAAGATATAAGCATGCTTAGTTTGATTAAGCTGTGGCTATCGAAGGAATAAGTACATAGAAAAGAAAGAAGAGAAAGTATGGAAAAGACTGAAATGAGTGAGATCAAAGCTGGGCTAATTTTCTATTTTGCAGTCAAAAGTCAGATTATAGAGATGTCTTTGATTTTAATACATGTTTGTATGTAACATGCACTTACTGTTTTGGAATTTTTTTGGTCAGATATGTCGATCTAGTTTAAAAAAAAATCCTGCTCTAATTTTTCAGCTTCATTACGCAATGGAGGACCAGATCATGGAGGTTCATTCTCAAGACCTACTGACCACTGCCCAATCAACTGCCATGATGAGTGTGGAGGAGCTGAAAGAGCTGGCTGAAAAACACGACTCCTGGTATTCCAACAATGTCAGTACTATTTTTCCTATTTCAGTCTCATTAGTGGGGTTGGAACAAGCTCAGGTCAGGCCTATGTTTTGCTGCAAATTTACGTTTTTTCGAGCTCTCAAGCCTTCCCTTGGAATCAATGCAAACACATATTTTGCATTCTTTTCTGTTTCCATTTAAACATTTTGTTATCATGTTATGCGTGATTGTGATACTGTTTAAAGTAAAGCTATTTCCCTGTTTCCAGTATTTTTTTTTTTACTCTTCTTCCCATTTTCTTTTCTTCCTCCCTCTTCTGCTATATCCTTTTCTTCTTATTTCATCCTCATTTTCCTTGTCCTCCTTGTCCTCCTCCTCCTCTGATCAGATTTTGCCTAAATAAAGATACAGTTGTACCTGTATATCGCAATCACTAGTACAAATGACCACTTCCCACTTCCCCTTGCGCTTTTTTTTACATTGTAATGACATTGTGTAAGACGGCCAACAGTCTAAATTGGCCACTTTTCTCCTTGACAATGGATGGCCATCTTAGACAATTCAGACTGTACATGTATATGTGAGGCAGTGTGGTGAAGTCAAAGAAAAGGTGCATTTTTCAAGGCTTTGGGTAACTTTTATCGAATTTTCTTTTTTTTGGCTCAACATCTCTTATGTCCTTTTAAATACACATTTCTGTTGCAGAAAAAATGTAAATTTCCTGTTTCCAATGACACTCAAGCTTTGGGAGTCACCAAACTTTGACAGCCGTTTTCTTGCCCATTTTACCTTTCACACCAGATGACCCTCACCTTCTTTTATCGCAAATATCTCAACTTGTATTCAATATAGATGGGTATTTTGTTTCGCCAAATGCAAGACAAATGAACAAGCTTAATTTAAAGATGATATTGAACTCTATATGCTCAAAAATTGACAAGCACCTGATTTCACCACATCGTGACACATGCTATTTCTTTCCAGTCCACCTATGAAGCAGCTCTGGCCGCTGCAGGCTCAGCCATCAACCTTGTGGACCACGTGCTGGATGAGAAAATTGACAATGGATTTGCACTTGTTAGGTATGTGTACATATGTGCTTGTGTGTGTGTATGTGCTTGTGTGTGTGTATGTGTGTGTGTGTGTGTGTGTGTGTGTGTGTGTGTGTGTGTGTGTGTGTGTGTGTGTGTGTGTGTATA